TCTTCTTGGCAGCTTCGGACTTCTTCGCGTAGGACTTCAACATGTGCTGTTGCTGACTCATGCCACCTTATGCCACCTTACTGAGGCATCCTTGGGAATGAACGTGGACTCCTTGACAAAGATCCTGAAGATGACGAGCCCAAACGATTCGCTCAAGATCCGCCACCAGGTCGACTCGGACGCCGCTTGCCTTTCGATAGTGTCCGTCGTTACGGTGGTGACACAAGAAGTGGTGGGAATCAGCAGATGTAGTTGTGTCGTGAAGGAGGAAAGGCGGACAGAAGTGTCTGGAAGTGAGGTGGTGGGAATGGTGGTAAGCGGTAATAGTGGTCGTCGACGGAAGTCGCGGAGAAGCAGCAGCAGCAGCAGCAGCAGCAGCAGCAGCAGCAAGGGTGGTCGTTGCTGTGGTGGTGAAATGATCTGCGATGTGGTCGTCGTTGTCGTGTCGCGCCTGTGCGATGTGGTTGCGGAAGTGGTGGTGAGACTGGTAGAACTGATTGAGGTTGTGGGTTTCCAGTGCGAGGGTTCGGACGACCGGATCTCGGAGTTCGAACTCAAGCTCATGCAGATCGAGAGCGAACACATGGAGATCCCTGAGCAGCCCGGGCCCCGGCAGACATGTGAAACTTACAGCCGACTGTCTTCGTAGCACATGTTCCTGAGTGTTTACCAGGTGAAAAGAGACTTTCAATCAGATGTTAGCTTGTAGCGGCATATTATCTTCTCGTCTCCACAGAAAATCTTGTTGGCTGGGCAGCTCAGAGCTGGTACTGGAGTTGCTAGAGCCAAACACGGAGCCAGTGCTGTCAAGGCACTACAAGGTCATCGCGAAACTGCCCTCCTCCGAGTTTCAAAAGATTTGCCGCGACCTGAAGGACCCCCGCAGCCAGAGAAAGAGACGCATGAAAGAGCAGGAAGCACACTACGCTGATCGCGTTCTGTCGCAACGGTCAGAAAGTTGCAGCCCGAAATTCACAAGAGATCCATCCCATCCGTTTTCATTGCTCGCTTTCTACCCTTCTAGCTTTTCCCCAGCTTGCAGGAGTTTGGGGAAACTCTGCAGCTGAGCGGCAGCAAGGAGGGCCTGAAATTCCAGGTGAAGGGCGACATCGGTAGCGGGAACGTCCTGCTGAAGCCTCGGGAAAGCGAGAAGCCCGAGGACCGAGGACAAACATGGATATCTCTTCAGATATAATCAACCAAGCGTCGCATGTCCATCGGGTCCCCACTGTGCCCGCTGCAGACCTGTTAGCTCTTCATGGGGAGTCCCTCCGAGTGAGACACGGAGGGTGGGAGCGGTGAAGACCTCCAGAGCAAGACGCAATCAGAGACGAAGTTTCCATGCGGAATCCGGTTCCACAAAGTCAAAGCATTCCAACCTGGCAGGACAAGGTGAGCCTGACCATCCATGAGCCGGTGAACGCAACCTTTGCCTTACGATATTTGGTGAACTTCTCTAAGGCCCGAGCCCTGGCTTCTCTAAGCCCAAGAAGATCCATACCGGCCATACCCTATCTGATCCATTTGTTTGACGATACGCCGCTACGCCGTTTTGCCCAAATACTTCCGTCCTATATCGGGTTTGTGGTTGACGGCCAGGGGTGCCCGTAGGCATATGCGACGGGGCAAGTAATGCTGCGCCTCACCTGCCAGCACTGTGAGAACATGCTGTAGCAAGCAGGCGCTGACAAGGTTGATAGGTTCACTGCTTCATGTTACGACGACGGCCAAGAGTTTTTAGCATCGTTTGGCCCGCTGCAATTGGCAATGGTGTTGGTTTTACTGGTTGTGAATTGTTTTCCAGATTGAATGTCGAATTTTCGAGGTTGTGGAGTCCCTGGTAAGTTTCCGATCATCGCAGACAATAGACTCCTCGTCATGCATGATTTGTCATGTCGACGAGGAGGCCGAGGTCAGGTGAAGGACTGAGGGGCAGATGCCAGTGATACTGTAGGGGTCTGTTAGGGTACAGCTGCGGCAAACATGCTCCACCAAGTAAATAGTGCCCGACCAGGCAGCACCGCTTTGTGGCTCAGTGACGCTCGGGCTTGGCCCGGATGCCCCACTGCTGGCAACGCAGTCGCACTTGACGATTTGGCAAGGAGTAGTAAGCTCAGCACAGTCTCATCTTGATGGACTATATGAGGGAAGCACAGTAGAAGCCAGGCCCTGCTACCTGTGGATGCCTTGAGCTCCGACTCGCTGATAGCAGCTGCAGAGAAGCCAAATAAGAAAGAGTCTCGGAGAACAATAGCCTAAACAGGTTTCGAGTCAGCCCACTACAGGTGCAGTACGACCTGGAGAGCGAGGACCGATCAAGCTGCATCTAATTGATACATGTCAAGCCATTGATTTTTGTCACGAAGGTAGTTCTGGTCTTGTACATGCTGCTTGTTGACTGAAGCGTCATGGATGACTCATTATGACTTGGCCAGTAGTGGCATTAGGCGATGATTGATGGATTGTGTTCGTTTGCTTTGTCTGCTATTACTAATTACGCAATGCCTCTCACTCTGTTGTCAGATTCCAGCGGGCTGAAGGCATTTAGCTTCCTTCATGTTCTCGAAATTCGGAGCCTGAAGGCTTCGGCGTTGAGGAGAGCTCGTACGGCTACAGGTCAATGATGATTCGACACTACTCCATGTTTTCGTTCGCAGAGTGGCAGAAACTTGGGCGATGGGATAGACGGCTAGATTCTTCAGAGGGATGACAGGTTTCTTTTGGGTTGCGGCTTGGATAAGTAGGTCAGCCGGCTTTGTTCGTGTAAGGTCCAGGAGTCCAGTTAGCTGGCACTAATGTTACAATGTTACAAGGGATACGTGATACATGCAAGCATCGTGACACTATCGTGACCAGTGCTTGAGCGATTGGCCGCATGATCCGGAGGACAAAGGACACCTGAAGTATTATCTTGCCCCCAAGATTGAGGAGTGAAGCGTGAGGTGATTTGTTGGAAGTGCTTCCACTGTTTGGCCTGTGGCCACGGTTTCACCGGGGCGTGGGTGGACCCTTCAGAAAGTCTGGGACCGAATGGAGGGCGCTCCACCGTGAGACTTTAGATTCACCAAGGTTGCGCAGACATTCTTTCGAGCCTGGATGCAACATCCAGGTTCCATTGTGCGCAGTTGTAATGGTGCAGACTTGTGCCCAGAGTAAGTTTTGTCGCATCAGCCAGGGCAAGGGCACCTCTCAGTTCGCAAGCAACGCAAAAGCTGGCAGAAGAGTGCAGTGACGTTGCCTTCCAAAGCTAGGATTAAATTCTGTTATCCAATCCTACACCCCTCGGCCGCACACGAGTCCACTAAAAGTGTTGACCCCTTGGTGTTGGAATGTGGTTGGAGGCACTACATCATCCACGATGAGGTGGGGATTCCACCACCGGATCCCGAGTCCCAGAGGCATTCCCAAAGTGGAGAAACGCTTTCAGGACGGGTGTTGGAGCTTCATTTCCTGGGCATATCTGAGCTGTCTACATGCGTTGACCATCGTCGACATGCCCCATGCCCCCATGCATGGAGGCACTTCGAGCACTGGGGCGGTAAGGTGTCGGATCCCCAGCCTTTCGGGTTCGGGGTGGAACGACGAAGCTGCACCAGACCGACATCCGCTAAGCCCTAAGCTCGATAGAGAAAAAGGGAGAAAGCGGGCCTTGGCGAACGGAGGATAGCTTGAAACATCTAGGACCTTGCTTGAAGTTCAGGTGAGTGTTGCGCTGTTGGCCTCTCGTTGCTGCATGCAAACCTGCTCGATACCTCAGCATCAGCGACACAGGCCAGTGCAAGCCCTTCGTAGTAGTAGTCGGCATCGAGACGAACAAACAGAGCACGAACTCTCTCGCAACGTCGCCCTCTGCAAGAGAGACGAAGGGTAGCGTTCAGAGACGTCCGTCGCCGGAGGCCCCGGGAACTGCTCCGGCCGTGGCAGTCTTGCACTGCCTTTGGGCAGCCGCTGCGATGTCCAGCAGGACTGAGGGATTTCAGTGCTCAGCCGGCCCTGGCTCCCGTGGTTTTTACAGCTGTTTCGTTGCAGAGGTTTCTGCACATGTTCACCACAGCATTTGGCCTCGCAGGCTCCAGAGAACTGCAGCTTGGTCGCATCTCCGACCGCTCCCAACCCTATTGCGGCCAGACTGACGGAGGATGTTCCATCGCACGTGCAGGTCGGAACAATGTCGTTTCCCGTTCTCAGCCTCCCTCCCCGCACACACTTTCGAGCCTGAGCCAAAGCCTGCCTGCAAGGTACTAGTTTGCATCCAGGGTCCATTGAAACGATGCGGCACGGGTTCTTTGTTGCGTACTTCTTCCCTTCCCCTTATTGCTCTCGTGGCCCCTTATCAAGTCGTGCGGCCTTCATCGTGAGAAGACGAGGCTGCAGAAATGGGATGGAGGACACTTTCCAGGTGGGACTCACCGTGACTGAGATTTGTAAGATCTTGGCTTCCGCCCGGGTGCGTTCGTCAGCAAACGTCAATTCCTTGGGCTTGAGGGTGGTTCCTTTGGTCTCATGAGCCCAAAGCATGTTCTTCAATGGAGATTTATATGATGCGCTTGTTTTGTCATTCCTGCTTTTGGCTCGAAGAGCCTGCAAGTAGGGGCTTTAGATCTTGTCGGCTCGGCTGACGCGCGTCAGTCGCCGAATGCTGGCCTCAATCATGTTCATAGGCATGCTTTGTTGCAGGCGCTTCAGATGTCCGTGTCCAGTGCGTAACACCGTCAGAAAACAAAGTCGGTTCCGGCTATCCAGCCACACCAGATGTCGGCCGGACAGAAGGCACTCCTCGCCAGTACAGACGTTGCCTAAGCGAGAGGCATCCGTAGCGAGCGCGCCGTGCCATGGACTTCGCTTGAATTGGGCCAAATAGCACCCATGAGCAGCACAGCTGAAGACTAGAGATGCGCCGATCATCCGATCCAAGCACTTTCAGCTTCGCAGCTTTGGCCGTCATGCCAGTACCGGTGCAGCTATGCCACAGTGTTGCCACTGCGTCAGCCGAGCCCAGGGTAAGTAGTAGCTGCTACTATATATATATATACACATACACACACACATATATATATATATACACATATTTTTTACATATATATATATATATATACATATATCGTTGCGGCTCCAGCTGAATTCTCGCAGAGTCGCTCTGGTGTTGTGGTTGTGCAAGCAGTGGTTAAAGACTTCTACACGGTCGCACATGAGTAATGACTAGCCCAAAGTGAGGCTCTGCAGGCATCGTCATCGAGGTGGTAGCTTTAGAGGAGTAGCTAGAAGTGCACTTCGACACGGGCTTCAAGTTACGACAAGAAACACGAGGATATCGAAAGGCCTGTTCAACGATTGCTACTCGAACAGTGCAGCTAGCGCCAGTCCACATTTGTCATATTTCACATCTTCCGAGCAAGATGCTTCTGCAAGAGCAGCCGCCGCTGCTCCGGCCAACGCAGCTGCTGCCCCCTGATCCAAGTGACTCGGCCCGTGTATCGCAAAGAAGGCCTTACAAGCCGAACGGCCCCACATGTGACAAGACAAAGGCAGCGGAGACAGGTGGAAAACTGCGACAGTTCCAAGACATCCAGGATGCACGAGACTGGGCAGGGTTGGAGCCCGAAGCATGGGACGCTGTTTGCGAGCAATGTGGTGGCTTTGCAGACCTCTGGCAGGTTGCACAAATCGCACCAGAACAGCTTCGAAAGGCGATTATCTCCGCACGCATTGCGCGTTTGGACCAGCATGGCCGCCCAGCGGCCGTGGCAGCACTGCATGGCGTAGCACCTCTTCCCTCGTCGCGCGCGCTCTGTCCGGCAGAGGCTGCCCAAGTGGGGCTGATCTGGAGGGTGGCGCGGGCCGTGGCTGGTCATAGCATTGGCCCATGGCTGGAGGATGACAGCCTGCCTGTAGAGCCGCACCCACGCATTCAAGTCGAGAATGCGGAGTGGTACGAGGTCGCCTATGACAAGGTCTTCATCAAGAAAGCACCCCAGCAAGATGCTCGTTCTTGGGGCTGGGTCCACCGTGGGCAAAAGATCCAAGTGTCCCCCAGCGCAGTGTCGGATATGAATGGCCGCGCATGGGTGGAGCTCACCTTCATGCAGCGGCTGGGCATCAAGTTGAGTTGCTTCTCTCGTGTCATTCTCGCAGAGCATGGGATGGTGCATTGTCGTAGCAACATGCCTTGGCTTCATGTCTTGTCGCCTCGTGAGCCTCGTGCCATGTTCGTACTCCACTCCGAGATATCTTAGTCGAATCCTGAATCTGCTAGTTTGGACCTGGCCTTGCTCGGAGTGCAAGCGCAGCATCCCTTAACTTAGCTTTTTTGTCCGAGTTGTGAGAGTGTAAGCTTTGTTTCTTGAAACTCATAGTCAAGCAGAGTGTGGGATGTAACATCACTGTCAAGGAGCCGAACGAAAGGGCAAAGGATGGCAGGTAGTAGCGCGGGTAGCAGCGAACAGCTTCGAGAGGGAGACTCTTCAGTTCTGTGCGATCCGTGTGACAGTCGCCGATATCGGAAGATGGGATCGTCACCACACATACATGCATACATGCATGTGTGCATATGCATTGCGTGGATATGCTGTACAATAAAAAAGTAACAAAGCAGGGGACGGATTCAATCAAGTAATTAAAGAGGGAAGCAAGCTGGCAATCGTACTAAAGTTAGTTGTTGTCATAACAAATGAGTTGGCTAGTGTTTACCTCGCGGCTTTTGGTAGGGCGAGAGGGAAAAATCACATCATTTGTTGATCTAGGTACAAAGACCAATGGTTTCTGTATGAGTCCATCGATATATAGATAGAGAGCGAGAGAGAATGCAACGGAGCAAGGTTGGCCCGATCCTGTCCCGAGCGGCTCTCCAGCGACGACCCCTTGGGTCGAGGTTTCGCTTTGATCCTGGGACTTGGTGGCTATGGGGCTCGTAGCTTTTGGGATACCCTTTCCTAGCGTATAAGTAGGAGCCCCAGCTCAAGCAAAGGGCGTGTCGGATCTTGGAAGTGATGTAGGATTTGAGAGCAGTTTGGAGGATTGACTTGCTGTTCGCATGCATTTTGCCGTGAGAAGGTGGGCAGGTTGTGGAGGCACAGGATCAGTTTTGCAGGTTAGTTGCAGTTGTACTCCAAATTTGCCGTTGTCTTGCTTTTCATGTTCAGCCTTGGCATTGCCACGAAGCTGGGGCCACAGCACGCACGGAGCGTTCCACCCCACGACAGCCGGGACCTTGAGGTGAAGCACTCGTTTGCAGTAATTATGCATTATGCAAGTGAATTACATAAATCCTCAATCTGCTCGATTCCTGCACCCGTTAACAATTTGCTGAGCAAAGTCCGAACAGGGATCCACCGATGTGAACCCTAGGATTGACGGTGAACATCTGGGTCTCGGGCGTTTGCTGTCTGGTCCATTGCCCAGCAAGGCAGGCCTGTTGGGCTTGGGTTTATGCTCGAAAGTAGTTTGGCGAGGTTGGAAGCATGCATCAAGTTGGGTATCGTGCCCCTGCGGATGCTGTCGTCCGTCGACCGATGTAGGCGATAGGATTTTCCGTGTTGGCCTCGCTCATAGCGGTAGGGAGCATTTGTGAATCTGTGCCATCTACACAGAACCAGAGCCTCCTGCAGGAGTGGCCATCGGGGCTCGAGGATGCTCAGAGCACCGTGGAGGATGGACATATAACAGGGTGGTTGATCGAGGATCGGGTTCTTCCTTTTTCTCTTATGTCCATGCGCCTGAATTGGCTGGAGGCTCTCCTGCCCAGTCTTCCTCTCAGATAGTCCCTGGAAGTTTTTCCGTGTGCGGTTAACGGGGTTGCTTGCGATGGTACCCTCACGGCCAGCTAGGAAGATGTGCAGGAGGCATTTGAGACAGACAAATTCACACTCCATACTCTCTCCGCGCTTGTGCTTGACGCTCCATACATCTTGATATGCACATATGCACACACACACACACGCACGCATGCATGTTAGCTATGTATTCTTGTTTATTATGTATAATGTATAATATCTATCTGAATGCATGCCAGCATGCACACATGCCAATGCATCGTTCAAGTTAAAGTGTGTGTGTGTGTGTGTGTGTGGACAGGCAAGCAGCAGGCATGCATGCAGCCAGAATAGGTAGGTAGGTAGGTACGCATGCACGCATGTATGTGTGCACGCATGCCAGCTTGGGTGATTTTAAGGCCGTATCGCTGCAAGATCCTGTTCAAGTAGTGATAACCCCACAACAGGACACAGATAGACGATCGGTAGGTATATGTGCGGGCACGTTGTCAAACTGCATCTTGTGAAAGGAGCGGGTGGTCTTGCGCCGCCTGAGTGGGGAGCGGTTACACTTCCAGGCATCGGCCCACGCACAACTATCCTAACTACGCACCGCCATCAGCTTGTGCTTTGTAGAAACTGAAAAAGTTGGCTCAGGGTGAGCAGTTGAGGGAGTGAATTATATTACTATTATATTAGTAAGAGAGATAGAGCCGAGTCATGTAACTGTACAACATGACTCATCGGTGTGCGTACTTACAGTTGGGTTCATCCAGCAGCTCTAGAAGCGGGCAGTACCTACCTACACCTCCAAGGCCACATCTCAAACTGGCTGCACACACCCCGGGTGTTAGAAAGATGTAACATCAGGCAGGCAATAGCAGCTGTTCAACAGCATGCAGTGGACAACTCGCCTCACAACACAGTCTCCTGGAAGACCATGCCGTTTTGCATCATGCTTCTACTTTACGACCTAAGCTCATGCAGCCAAGCCCAAACCGCTAAATGATGCTGTAATCCGTGCCTGCTTCGAGCGAGTGTGTGAGTCGATGCGTTCCCTTACAGTTGAAGCCCGGCGACTTTGTGGCTTCGCTCTGCTTCCGCGCAGCCGAAGCCATTCGGGTGCAGAATCGCCATAAGGTGTGGATGCAGCTCAAGGGGGCGATGTTGGACCCCCACGCACACACAGTCAGAACTGCAATCTTATTGTTATGGCATGGCTTGAATGCGGACTTCTTTCCAGTCACAATTTAGTGTTTGCCTGCCTTGTGCTTGGTTCTGGACATTCCAACCCGAGGCCTTGCAAGCACCTGCAGCGCGCATCCGCCTCATCTTGGATGGAGACGTGCTGCAGCCTGGCTTGCACTCGACTGGAGTGTTCCGCAGCTGCGATCGCGCATTGATGTTGGTTCTGCTACTCGAGGAGCCAGGATTCGCTGGCCGCTCCACTGGCTGGGAAGGAGGTGGACGTAGTGGTGATCCCACCTTCTCCCCGAGCCGTCACAGGTCCGGGCCTGGGCCTGTCCAGCTTGGGGAGATGTTGGGAAATCACCGTCAGACCGTTTATTTAAGGCTGTGAAGACGGCTCCGTGAAGTTCTGGGACCTCCAGACCAAAACCTGCCTGGCTTCGCTCACGGGGCATCGTGGCGC